GAGAAGTAAACTACAGCGACCGACATATGACAAATAAAAAGATAATCACATAGCAAAGTCAGATAGACAGACAGATGTGAACAAAGTGTAAGAAAAATAAAGATTATGCGCAAAGAATAAACGTAATCAGCAGCGAGCTGCTCAATTATGTACGGCGAGTTAAACGCACAAATAGCACCCAGAACAAAAGGTAAGTCCCAACAGCCGCTAACGCTAACTGCGATAGACCATTTCAGCTGCATGACGAAATCAGACGTCAAGTCACGTGATAGCGGACTAAGAGACGCAAAAACGTGACATTACCAGATGTAAGACATCACTAACACCCAAAAAGCATTAAGGTATGCACAAATCAGCACCTAGATAAAGAGAAAAGAACGCCCATCACTACACCAAAGTCTCCACAATTCATCCACTATCGACCCCACACACCACTAACCAGCGACTGCTACGAGGCATTACTCGAACACCAACCAACTCCATTCCCCATGTAGAAGGACAACACCACAAATCACGAATACCGTTCATATTGCTAGCAAACATCTAGGAACATCAAAACACTACAAAAAGGGACGCGGAAATGCACGCATCCCACGAACAAACACGAAAACCACGTCTCTAAACACCACACTTGAAGACGTAGAGACTGCACTCCTTCCCCGATTGGAAGTACACCTTCAAACTGGACAGCTCTACTCCTGTCGCGAACGCATCACTGGGCGGATAGACAACCAACGGAACTAGGGATGAACAATCCGACGACAAATCCAACACCGAACTTCCGCCCTCGGTCCCCACCATCACAACCACAATGCTGTCAAAACCGGTCGCACTGCGTTTGAACACCTCCACATCCTTTGCCTACAACAACAAAAACACCAACTACAGTCAACGCACCCGAACCAAAGCCTCAGCAGCAGCAGCAGCAACAACAACAACAACACAACAACCTTGGGTACATTCATCGTAGCGTTGAGGGAACCCCATAGGAGGCTTGGATACTCCTTGTGAAGTTGCACCAAGGAGGCAGTCAGACTGAACATACTCGCACCACGACCAGCTGCCAATGCAGTCTGTAATAGAGAAAGCCAGAGTGCGTATACACAGGAGGGGGAGAGGTATAGGACAAGTGAACGAGCATACAAATTACCTCAACTGTCTCCACTACTTTCAGACCAGCAGTGTAGGCACTGTAGGCTTTACTCACGTTCACCGAGTCGGAGAAGCCTCCACCGTGCGAATCCCACGGCATCGGTAGGTGGCTACTCACGCTATCCACAACAGGCAATTGGCCAAACGGATACAGCATTGACGGTGGCATGACACTCGACGGAGTCCAGCCTATTTCAGTTCCAGCGTAAATCACAGGCGTACCTGCGAGTACACCAGTCAAACGGATTACAAACGCCTCACTTGCACAATCACAAACGAAAAACAACAAATCACACAACTCACCCGGCAACAAAAACATCGATGCGGTCGAATAAACACTTGTGTACGGCTTGTCACTCGGCGAGGCAGTCACTAATGCTAACTGGCTCCGCAAAGTCACTTCAGTTGTTTCCAAGTAGCTCTGCACTTTGGCAGCACCACCTTCCTCACCATGGCTAAAAAGCAAACATGCACAATCACCGCACAAATACAAACACCAACACCTACAATCCACGCTGGAATGCAAATTGTCGACTGATCACCAGATGCGCTCCTGGAGCCTCCTCCGTGCCCAACAACTTCTCCGCGTCCTCCTTCGTCGATGCACCATACCCAGTGTTACCGGGATCGGCGATAAGCACTCTACACAAGAAGCACATGCTACATCCAACACCACATTACCTCGGACGCGAGGTCTCACTCGACACCTCATCGACAACCTTTCGCAGCTCCTGAATCACCCCCACCGTCCCATTTGTGTAGAGCTTGCAGGTGGGAAAGCTGCTCAACCACTTATCCGAGGCACACGTGCCCTCCTCTACAAAGAACGCAGCATCGGACAGCAGAATGCCGTCCACACCCTTGTGCAACCAAAATCTTGTCACGTTCTTCACCTTCTCCATCACCTCAGGCGACTTCAGATTCAAATCCACCACACCCGAACCACTTCCGTAGGTCGAGTAGAACATCGCGCCATCCATCAATTCCGCGCTCCCATTACCCGCACGGCAAAACTAGTTACAGAGTCCTGTCAAACCACCCACCCAACACCACTCTTACCTTGTCTTCAGGCGTAGCAGAAACCAGATAGGCCGGTTTTGCAAGCTCATGGTTCAGCGGTACCGCATTGAAGTTAAGCGAGATCACAGTCTGCATGCCCCTCTTCTTGAAGCCACGCAGCAAGGCGCCAAAATCCTCCATGGTGCCCAGCGCCGGGTGAATGCTCGCAAAGGACACGCTATCCACCTCCGGCAAAATCTTCGGATACAGCGGTGACATGGACGTCAAAACAAGAAAACCGGCACCCACATTCTCCTGGATGTAGTCACCGGCGCTCAACAAACCTGCACCACAAACACCGTCACCTTTGCACACAATCACCACCCACCTTTCAGATCGCCGACCAAGTCGCCATCCGAGTCCTTGAACGCGAACGGGTTAACCCAGTAGCCAACCTTCGATTGCCAGAACGACTGCACCGGTCGTGGTGGGCATTTCGGTGTTAGCACAATGTAGAGGATGGACACGACTATGAGACAAACCCACACCACCCAAAATAGAGCAATGAGTGCAATTCGCACCCGACGCCAAATTGGCTGCTCAGCGTCTAATCTCAGTAAATCCTCTTTTGTGAGCAGAGTGTACTCGTCATTACTCTCGTCTTTTACGCCATCAATATAAGATAACCTTTCCACTGGGAAGGAATCTCCACCCCCGGTTGCACCCTCACGCATTCCCTGCACACTTTTGCCTCGCAGAAAAACTGATAATTTTAGCTTTTCACCTTAGCTACTATCGTTGATCTATAGTGAATTCAAACAAATGTTGCCTTGACCCATAAAATTTTTAAAAGGCTCAATATATGGCTGCAAGAAATTAAATAATATAAAAATTGTGCAAATCTACTTTGTTGTTGACATTTTTAATCTTTAGCATAATTTTTTAAATGTTTTTAGACACTTCCATTTACTGATGAAAGTTGTTTTAGCATTTTAGTGTAATTCTCCACTTGTTTTTGCTTTTTTAATAGAATCTTTACCATTTAGCAGAAAGAAACATAGATAAGATTGTGGCGTGAAACTCTGACCAGTTTATGCGTAAATGGACCAAATAAAAACCAAAATAACTGCCACACATCGCTTGGTCACAGAAATAAAGCGTAGGACTATTCTCCTCATCTTTCAAGCCATTTCTTTAACGCACATCTTGGTACGCCTTCAGCGCCAGCAATCACAATACAATCGGTACTGCACGAATGCATCCACGAGTCAGCTGCACCAACATGAGACTGAGGAACAGTATCTGACCTCCCCATCGACCTCAACTGTAATTGGAGTTACGTTTACTCGGACAGCCAGGATGGGGTCGCATACATCTGTAGACTATCAACTGCATTCGGAAATAGATGTTGGGAGTCTGGTCTAAACCAGATGTGTTCTGTCACATAGATAAGGACACCTGATTGTGGGTGCAGTGGAGCGATTTCGACACGAATTTTCCAGATAGTGCACGGTGGTGTCGATTT